TCTTTACAGGTCTTTAAAAATTCAGAAATTTACCAGGAACTAAGAGGGAACAAAAGAAAGTATTTTCCTACAGAAAATTATCATCTTATTGGTGACAAAGCTTACCCATTAATGGATTGGCTAATGAAACCTTATTTAGGGTAAAATCCTTTTTTTATAATAATTATTGAACACATGTAAATGGTATTTCTTTTTTTTAGAGATGATAGACATCTGACGAGACAACAAAGAGCTCACAATTTAGCACACAGTCAGACAAGAATACGGATAGAACATTGTTTTGGACTTTTAAAAGGCAGGTGGCTCATATTACAATATGTGAATGTAAGGACAATAGAAAAGGCTGTGAAAATAATTACTGCATGTTGTGTGTTGCATAACTTCTGCTACTTAAATGGAGACTCGTGGGATGAAGGATTAATTGATGAGGATGAGACAGATGGTGAATATGATGGTGGTGTGGAGCAGACTGGGATGAGAAAAAGAGATCAGATTTCTCAATTATTTAGATAACTTTTTGTGCTTTGTAATAATTTATATGAATAAACAGATTGAAATCAAGTACTTGTTAGACTTTGTTGTTGGATAATAGTTTATAAAAAGGGGGATGAGTTAAGTTTCAATAAAAGTGTAACATTGCTAATAAGATATAATTGGTGCTATATATCAAACTTACACCATTAAACAAATATTCATATATATGTATAAACAAAACAAACATTGAACTTCGTGCAGACATAAATATTGCACCAAATAACAAAACGAGTATTAAGCTTTAAGCGAAACAAATGTTATTAAACAAATTAAATCACTCTTCTTAGGAACTATTGACAAAAATAATTGATCTATATGTGTAAAGCTAAACAAAAAAAAAAAAAAAATACGGGAGTAAAACTGATACTGATAATCACTGATTATTCACTGTCACTTTCATGGCGCCTCTTTTTGCTTGGTACTAACGTTTTTATCACTGCCATCATTTGTTCATGACGTTTATTACTCTCTTCTCTAATCAACTGAATAATATCAGAAAATTGTCCTGTTGTTAGATTCCATGTTTTTTTCACTTATATCGACAAGAAACGATTTTCTGGTGTTTTCGTGATTGGTTCGACTGAACTCTGAGCTAATCTTCTGGACTCGCTGTGCTCTTCAATTTGAGTTATAGCGCTAGGTTGTTCCAATATTGGCTTTGTTGGTGCTTCTTTCATTGAATCAATTATAATTACTGGCTCACATTTATGTTTGTCCCCTAATATTTCAGACAATTCTTCAAAATGAGCCGGTTTTGTAATTTTTCCTGTTCCCGTTTGTCGCTTATTGTCGATGTACCTAATATAGGCACCCTGAAGATTGGCGAACTTCTGCCTGCACTTTTCTCTACCTTCAATACCGTCACCAATATAAAAACCTTTAGCATTCATTTCACCTGCTATCTTCATCCAAATACTGTTTTTGTTGTTTTTCTTATCATTGAATTGGTCATTGTACTTTTTGCGAAGAGATAAGAAAAATGCTGTAGCCTCCTGATCACGAGTGGTCTGATTTTTTGATGAAGTCCAGATCAGTGCTTTCTTTTCTGTAGGTATAAGTCGCATCTCTTGCCTTAGGGCTTGCATATATTGACAGCGAAAATTACAATCTAAAACAAAAAAAATGCCATTGCCAGAATCCTAAACTCTTTAGAATGGTAAAAAAGGATATTAACAGGCTTTTCTTACCATTTTCCAACTTGGTAGCCGTCTCCAAATCAACGGTCAACAAAAGATCGTCAATTTCTAAGGATTTCATACCTGGTGGAGTTTCAGATTCCATTATTTACAAATAATATTTGTTTACGAGACGAGGCAAACATGGGTCAGTTTAGCAGTTTGACAGCACGCATCATTTTTGAACCGTCTTCCGACCTGTTTTTAAACACGGTTGAAAACGAAACGTCATTAATTTCCGAAAAAATGCAATGTTTTTAAAAACGGTTTAACCGTTTTCCTGAAAAAATACGGCTCAAGTCACGTTCCGCAGTCGTTACGCAAAAAGTTCGTTCGTGCTGAACGTTTCTGCGTACTTTTTAAGCGTTTTGTGATTTGTGGTTATGTTCGGTTTGTTTATATTTTTGCAGTTTTATTTTTGTCCACAGTTTTACTTTTGTTTGGATCAGTAATTAATACTTTTTAATACATACCACGAATTTATCAGCTTTAAGTTCCGTTTTTGTAATCTACGGATCGGAACAAATTTTTGATATAACTACATATATATTTATTATTACATGTTACTGTCATTTCTGTATTTTTATTAGTTTACTAGAGGTGGTGTTCCTATCCTAGGTAGTAGTTAGCTATTAAGCTATTAAATAAAATTGTAGGTACAACAATACAAATGCGGTTATTGTGGGTTTTTCTTCAATTCTCAATGCCAAAATCTTCTCGAGTATGATGGATTTGTATGAAGAGGGGATCCACAACTTAGTAGTGGATAATAATCAAATTTTAACTGTTGGTAAGCATATACTAGGTAGTTCAGTTTAGGTACATTTATATGTAGCTGCTTGTTTTTGTTTTTTTTTTTGGTAATTTCAGCTGTTAAGGCCTTTGTTTCTTTTCTGTTTCAACATTCAATTTGTCCATAAACTATGGTTTGCTTTGTTTTAGAAATGAAGAGCACAGGAGCTCGAGTTTTTAAAGAAGCTGCAATGTTTGGACGTGACTGGGAAGAGACATTTATAAGATTAGTTGAAGAAAGGGCAGCTCTGTACAATATACAGTTACCATTGATGCAGAGAACAAATGCAAAAAAAACTATTGTGGAAAGAAATTTTCAATACATTTGGGGAAAAAAATATCAATAGAAGAGCTTAAAAAAAAATGGAGGTACCTTAGGGATTGTTACATTCGTGCTAAAAAAAGTGAATGAATATAAACCAAGTGGATCAGAGGCAATACAAACCCCAGACTCAGGTTTTAGGCACTTTCAGTTAATGAAGTTTCTAGATGATGGCACTAGTGAACAAGCGTAAGTTGAATGCACTATTCTGTATTTCTTTGAGTATATTGTAACAATCAATAAGATTTTTTCTTATACTTTTTTGTTCAAATAGAAATTTTATTGTGGTAGGTTGTTCTATTTCTATACTTTCATGGAGAAGGTTTAGTAGTAAAGTACTAAAATCACAGCAATTTTCAATTATTAAACTTTTTAAAACTAGAGATTTTCACAAAAGAATTGTATGTAGAATGTACATGTATGTTTGTCTTAGGTATCATTGTTTTTATTTTCAGTACGGTCTGTTATGTAGACGTAAGGGTGGAACTTTCAACTAGTGGTGTGCCCTCTGGAAAATCCCTCAGCAGGAAGCACTACAACTCCGCTGACGTCTCCTACTGAAATGATGACTCCGACACAAACATTAAAAAGTAAGTTGTGTTATTAAAATAACAAGGTGCCTTGAAATATTTAAATAAAAGAAAATTCTCCTTGAAATGATTTGTTTCTCATATCTGATCCTAGGTTTGATATGTCGTTTTTGACTAAATTATCATGGATTTTGACTCATACAACCTTTCCTTATGTTTTACTTAAAAAGTGTTCCATTTGAAAAAATCTCTATTTTACTCTTTTATTCATAACAGTACTTACAGGATTTATAAAAACTCCAACCAGTACCCAAATATCAAACAATTTAAAAACTTAATTCTTAACTTTACGCCTAAAACAAGCAAGGTTACCCTTAATATACATACATTTCCATAATGATCATTGTAGTTCCTAACTAGTCCGATAATAAAACTCTGCGTGCCATAGTTTGTTCTATGTGGTAGATAATAAAAATAATCTGTGTTGTTCTTAATGCTGTTCTAAATGATAACAGACTTACCAGAATGAAAAGTTCACATTTTATTGTTAATTAAAATTAATTTTGAATAAGAGCATAATATATTATTATTTTAAGTACATAGGTACCTACTTATTTCTACTAAATACTTTTAGGAAAGAAAGATGGAAAGAAAAATGAAAAGAAAGGTTTGGAGGGGCAAATATTAGAGGCCTTCTCCAATACATCAGCGCAAATGGATGGCGTTGATGGGTTTCTCTTGAGGGTCGGTGAAAGCCTAAGAAAACTACCTTACAAGGAGAGGGCTAAATTGGAGATTAAAATCATGCAGCTACTGTACGTAACAGAGGAAAAACTGAACATATGATAATGTTAATGACAATTTTTTTTAATTTATTTTCTAATTGGTTAAGTATGTTTTTAAGTAGGTTATTTAATTAATAAAACATTAATGTAACAAATTAGACTTTTATTACAATATGACACTTGTAAATATTTACAAACAATTAGGTACATAGTTTTTTATAAGAAATTACGAGTACTAGGCGTTGTATGTCAATTTAAAAATCATTTTCCAAAGCTTTCTGCCATTGCCATTCTACTGCGTCAGCAGTGCAAAAATAATCAGTAAATTTATATCTTAAAGCTGCCGCATTTTGTGTGTACATATTTGAACCATATCTATGGATATCTAGTAAGCCTTCTACTTGAGAAGTACCCACATCACTTGAACTTTGCAAACCTTCCCTATTATTGCTTCTTTCTTTTCTTAATAATAAAAAATTATGTAGACACACACAAGCTTGTACTATTTTTCGGACTGTGCTCTCACTCGCAATTATTAAATTCTCCACATAGAAGCAAAAATTCCAAAAGTGCCTTCAACAATTCTTCTAGCTCGGCTTAAGCGGTAGTTGAAGGCCTTCTTTCTGAAGTCTAAATTTCCCCTACGAGGATATGGTCGCATCATGAATTCTGTGAGAGAAAAAGCTTCATCAGCCACCAAAACATAGGGTAAGCCATCATTATCTAGACGTGGACTATGAAATAATTTATTTTCAAATCCTTGACCCATAGAACTACTTCTGAAAACACCACTGTCACTTTTACGGCCTTCCGCACCGATGTCCACCACGATGAATTTGTTCTTTGCATCCGCTATTGCTAGAAGGTTTATCGAATGGGTCCCTTTGTAATTATAATTGGATGATCCTGAGTTGGGAGATGCCTAAAAATGATAAGGATAAATCATGAGGCGTTTCTTAAATTAAAATGACAAGAGAAAATGAAGACAATATTTATTTGTCAGTATATTTGTAAATTGTTCATATTTTTGTGTATGGAAATTAAGTGATGAACCCTGGGATGAACCTACTTGTATGATGATGTGCTTTCCATCTATTGCTCCAATACAGTTTTTAAAATTCCATATTTCATTAAAATCATCAGCAATCTGTTTCCAATTGCTTTCAGTTGGTTCCACAAAAACATTGCTCTTCAAAGTGTTCCATATGTGTTCCAACCCGAAACAAGTACGATAATGATACCATACTATCTCCTGAGGTTAAGTATCTTAATGTCAGTTCTAAACGAATTTTAGGGCTTATTGCTTCTCTAACGTTATATTGCTTTTGAATTTCTGGACCAACAATAAGTAGCAATTCATCAAATGTTTCCGGATACATACGAAGAAAATTAAAATATTTCTCACGATCATTCAATCTCATTTCATCCAATAATTTATTACTAGCTCCCTGCCAGAAGTCTTTGGTCCTCCAAAAATATATCTCTGACCCAAAATCTTTTCTTTCTTTCTTCGTCTTCAAGTTTTCGAAGTCTTGTGAAACTTATGTATAATTTCCTCAAACGCTCCAGCGACTGTCTTCTATGATTTAAGAGTAATTTATTGTGCTGACTGTCTCTTATAATTATAACATAATTATAAGTTATAATTATGTTTTGTGGCTAAATTTGTTAGGTTATGTTTAAAAGGTATCTTTTATTTATTATATTTATAATTAAAAATGGAAATGGACGATGTTTATTGTAAATGGCAGGTTATAGTATGCGAAAAGTAATGAAGGTGAATTGAATGGTAGGAACATCGTGGTACAAAATATAGAGATTAAGTATAAAGAGTTTAAAAGTAATTTTTATTTTCAGCTAATGAAATAGGATACATAGAAGATACTCCAGAAAATAGAGTACCGTTGGGTATATCTATAGGTTCTTCTCAAGCAGCGAGTCAAGGAGGTTGTGAATCCTACATCCCAGAGTGTCGCGATGTTGATATAGCTGAGGAAAATGAAGAAAATTTGAATAGTTCAAGTTTGCTTGATGCAGGATGGGATAAGAACAAGGTTCAACAGTTACTTAATTTGTATTTGGAAAATGTCAGTAAATTTAGGAACTCCAAAATAAAAAAAAAAGACTTATGGCACCAAATTGCGTCTCAACTAGGTAAAGATGATGACAGTTGCGACAAAAAATTTAGAAACCTAAAACAACATTATCTATATTTACTGAAAAAGAAAAAACAATCTGGAAGAGGGGCTGTGACTTGGACTTTCTTTAAAATATTTGAAGAAATTTTTGAAAATGATGAAAACGTTCATCCCGAGAGAAATTTGACCATAATACATACCTTCCACTCTAGTAGAAGAAAAATTGAGAAATGCCCTCAGCAGTCTCTTCAATGTCATATTGAACCTATTCTGTCTCGTAGTAAATTGATTGAAAAGTGCATTCAACACATTCAATGTGGCCCTGAAAATCACAAACCAAACAAGTACTATCCTGATAATGCTGGATCTACTTCTCATCAATTATTTGATGACATGACTGCATCTCTATCACCTGATAGAATACCGATTGAAGAACTATGGCACGCTGAAGTATCATAAGATGTACCAGATCCCAAAACTAATTGTACTTCAAATATGAAAAAGCCACGTCGTAAAACTGAATCAAATGAAAGAAAACGGCGATATGATGATGTTAGGCTACTATCACATGAAATTAATGAACGTCAAAAAAAATGGAAAAAAAGTTGACCAATTGGTCAACACTGTTCAGGAGTCCAATAATATCCAAAAGGAGAGAAACAACCTATTTAAGGAATATTTACCAAAATTAAACTCACATAGTTAAGTCATACTTTTACAATGTGCATTCTGCAATATCTTTTTTATGTACCCAATATTTGCATTATTTGAAGTGTTTGGTTGTGAAATATTTTTAGTATAACCTCTTAGGTTTCCCATATATTTTGTTTAAAGAACATATGTGTTGGTAAATTAAAAACATATTTATTATAGGAATGTATTTTATTTACTATTTCCATTTAATAAGGTATATTAAGCTAACATGCTACTAATCTTATACGTATAGGAAATAGTAGTTATGTTTTTGGCCATTCTGTATCTGAATGCGCTCAAAAAACAAATCTT